GGAAATGTTATTTGGAATTATCAAACAGGAAATACTATAAAAAGTTCTGCAATATTTTGTAAAATAAAAAAAACAATATTTGTTGGCTCTTATGACTGTTATATATACTGTTTATCTGTGAAGGTATATGTTTATGGCAATACTGGATATAACAATATGGAATATAACAGATGATAATAATAATAATTTAAAATGTACATTATAGGACGGATCAGAAGTTTGGAAATCTAAATTCGGTAATGGAAGCATTGGCGCTTCCGGTTGTTTACACGTTTCGTCGAATAGTGTGTTGTTTGGAACATTGGATGGACTTTGTCTAGCACTGGAACAATCGTCAGGGAAACTTTTGTGGAAACATAAATTGTCAGATCCAATTTTTGTTGCTCCTTTGTCATTAAATAATGGACTTGTTTTATTTTGTTCTGTAACAGGACTGTTGCATTGCTTTGATGTCGAAGTTAATGTCAAGGTAAAACAGATATGAAAGAATTTGACATGTTTATTGTTTTGCAAAACTAATTATTTTTATTTGGTTTTATTTTCTGACTTTACAGATGTGGTCATACAAAATCAATGGCAATGTATTTTCATATATTGTGAAGCAAAGTGATGCCTCTGTAAAATATGAAACCATCATTGTAGCTAGTCAGAATAAAAGTGTGTATTGTTTAGAATCAGAAGATACAAATTTTAAAACTAAACCCAGATTGAAATACGTATTAAATTTTCATTCACCAATTTTCGCTACTCCCTGGTGTGAAAACGATTCTCTATTCATAGCATGTACAGATGGTACTTTAAATATTTATAATTCAGCAAAAAATAGATTGATAAAAACTGAAAAACTTTCTGGGGAAGTCTTTTCGTCACCAGTTGTTGATAATGATATCATAATCATTGGATGTAGAGATAATAATGTCTATGTCTTAAAACTTATGTAAATTATTCTTGGTAAGTAAATGTGTTAAGCATTCTTTGTATCATGAAATAGACAGGAATACAAATTAATATGAAATTAATATAGCATGATTTATTTTTTTTTTTATGACTGTCACATTACAGTTACGTGAATAACGTTTCAGATAAAGTAATAGGGAATCACGTACCTTTTTTTTTCATTGACTTTCATATATAATACGAATTCGCGGTGCGCTTACAGTTTGAAGCGAAATGCAAGCAAAATAAAGGATTCTAAGAGATTCTAAGAGAGCCAATCACTCATTAACAAAACATTCACCCATATGCAAGTGCACACGTATAGTAACTTCAGAAATGATGTACATCTATGCATACTTGTCTCTTTCAAATTTACCAATTTGTTTTTCTATCAATAATGATTATCTTACAAAATATCAAACAAAAAAATATTTCAGCTTAAATTCACATAAAATAACAACGTTTCAACGATTCCGCATTTTTTCTATAATCGCACTCTACTTTGAGAATGTTTATATAACATATATATTTATATTACGTTTAACTGGTTGGCCGTACTTTTTTCCGCTCCAATATTTTGACATAAATTCTTTGCAATCTTCCCAGTTATAGGCAATTTCTTGGAAGTGCTTCAATTTATACGTATGTACTTCGTATTTCTTAATGTATGTGTTTGAAATTTGAATTAATATCATAACTAAATGTGCAGATTTATGACATATTTTCTAATGCTATACCGCGCCATGCTATTTATATAATTACGTGTAGAACTCACTTTTTTTAAATTACTCTTATTTTGTATCTCGTGTTACAACTACTGCAATTAGCAACATAACTATAGGATTCTTTAACATTTACAATTTCAATAAACAGATATTTTAATTTGATAGTTAAAATATGATACATTTATAAGATCGTGATAATCGACACTGTCATGTTCAATTCAAATTACATGTCAGTGACGAATACATGGATACACTTAAATCGTATAATAAATTGCATTTTATAATTTGTTCAGAATTTATCGACAAATATCCAGACGACGAATATTACACGTTCTAATATCAATGTTTGTTTTTGTGAAAATGGTCGTACTACTCGTGTACTTTGGACATAATGTAAAAAGGGCAGTTTGTAGAATTGGATTGAGACAAATTTGAAAAATAAATTTTGAATAACGTTTGGGCTTGTTGTTGAAATTCTCCATTAAAGAGAATCTAGGATTAGGCATAAGTCTACTTAGCAGATTGAATCTGCTTTGAGACTTTGACAAATACCGACGTTATCGGTACGTATGCGCACGTTAAATCTTGTTGTTCGCTTGTTTTCTTTTTTTTTTTTTTCAATTCAGCATTAGCTATTTAAAACTGAACAGTAATTGTAACTATTTCACGGTTACTGATCCTCGTCTAGGTCTTGTTTTACTTTGTTAAAATCGAACTCCTCGCCAGTGGCCCGTTTAAATATATCAAGAACATCCAGACAAGTAGTTTCAAAATGCGTTGTAGCATCGTAACTTGTTGATATAAAAATCTGACTGTCCAAGCCGTTGTCTGTTGGCTCCATGTAGTCAGAAACTGATATAAACTTTTGTTTGATCGGTCCGAGTAGATCCAAGCCTGGTTTGATTTCGGCTTCTGGATTTTTCGTTTCAACTGTGGTAGACACCATGGCAATGAACCATCCTTTTGCCGCTACTTGATGAGTATGCGACACTAAAGATACGTAGATATCGGAATTACGATTAACCTAGTTAGAAATAAAAAAAACAAATAAATGCTATGGCAACATATTGACACCCATCGAAACGAGAACAAGAAGTAAATCTCTATTTACTTGTTTCTGAGGAATAATAATTTGCGTTGAAAGAGCGTCTGCTGTATTTGGTATAGGATGGTCTAAAAGACAAATGCATCTTATGACCTGACCCACTTTTTTCACACGATCAGGTACATATGTGGGATCACAAAATACTTGTTTGCATTGAGCTACTTCGTCGCCGGAACGTACACCAACAACCTGCAATAAAAATCTCGATAATCACCGTTGATAGAACCAGTCTGGTTAATATCAGTCTATTTCTAAAAATGTTTTCAGATTATTACCTTTCCATCCTTCATTACGATCTCGTCGATCGGTTTGTCCAACATGTACGTTCCACCATAGATGGCGCTGAGCCGTGCAAAACCTTGAGGAAGTTCACCCAAGCCGTACATAGGATACAGATACGGTGATTTTCCATAGCGTGCTAAACTATCGCTGTACAATTTAATTCTTCTTATAGTAGTAATCGCGCTTTGACATATATATTCGTCGTCTCTGGAACAGCAAAGCATCATCGTGAACACGAGTCATCAAGTCATTAAATAATTTGTACCCGTGTTTTATTTTACTTACCTATACAGAGCCAGTGCATGCCCTGTGAAATCTTGAGTGTTCTTATCGAGATTAAACTTATTGTACAAAGCACTCATGCTGTTGTTAAATGGATCGAAACCGTCCCAAGTTCTCGGGTCGTCCTCTTGCATGTTTTGCACCCATATAAGGAAACTACGGAAACGTCTTTTCTCGAAAAGGCCCATCAAATCACTGGACAATGCCTCTTGCTGATCTATCGGGACCTTCGATATCTTCCCGGACTTGTAGACGTACGATCCCTCGACGCATTTGAATTCCAAGTAACGCGTTACGCCCGTGTGAATTAAAAGCTTCACCAGCAAGCCGTTCGCCATCAGGAACTTTGGGATCAAGTCAACGTTCCAATCACGACCACGGCCGTAAGTCTCATCCGGTGCCGGGGCTTTGAATTTCCTGGACAATGCAGAAGAAACTAAAATTAACGATCGTAACACGTTCGGTGTCAACGAGATATATTCTTGTTATGATACACAGCCTTTCATTTTATTATTTTCATAGAGACATGAAACTTGATACTACTGATTATCGTGAAAATGTAAACAACGAAAGAGCCAAACTTATTCTTTAGACACGATCGAATAAAAAAAATTAAAAAAAAAAATATCCTGCCAGTAAATAATCGAATGTAAAAATAAAAAAAAAAATAAAAAAATAAAAAAAAAATATCCTGCCAGTAAATAATCGAATGTAAAAGAAAAAAAAAAATTGCAAAAGAATAGTTTCTTCGGATGTAATTTCGTTTCATTTACTTTCACATGACTTCGTAAATATTCTTTGGTCCGATCGTACGCGGCTGTAATCTAACGATAGTTACAGTCTGTTACAACAGACGGGTAGTTTAGATGCGTGTTACAATTTATTGAGTGCAACCGGACACACGATTACCGTCTCCCCGATGAACCAGAAGCGCAATCACGCGGACGTGTTATCGTTTTTCTTTTCACGAACAGCGAAGGAAAAAAGACACGTTGCTCCGTCACGCCAGCAATGTTTCTACTTTGTAAAGCATTGAACAATCTTCGAAAGCATTGAACATCAATTAACTTCGATGTGAAGTTGAAACAATTTAAACAAAAAAAAAAGAAATATTGATGCGTGAATTGTAACACGCACATACATGAGCATACACGCACGAGGCCCGATCCTCGTTTAAAATTTCGAGTTGGCGAAAGGAAGCAAACATATGTTCATTTTCGTAGAAAGCTAAACTAACGGTACTAGTTCGTTTACTGAATATTCTCTCTCGCAAAGTTTTCAAACGAGTGACTAAATTCACGTTCTTCTCTGCAGTCGAAACGATCGAGTGTGGATGTACGTAATTTTTTTCAAATGATAGACGGAGATACGTGGAAGGAAGTGGGAGGAGGAGGAGGAGGGGCGTTCAAACGAGCAGCAAAGAAAAAAAAAGTATCTCGGGAAGGAACAACGTGTAGCGCTAACTTTGCAAGATACCCGAAACCAATTTATCATGTTCGATGGATTCATTCGACGGGGCGGAACTCTCTCCCTCTTTTTACTCAGCGAGTGACATTTTCGCCAGCTAGACAGCCGATAAAATTGTTTAGAAAGAGATGAACATTCGGCAGGTGATCGGGAAGCGACCGACGCATCACAGCAGGTGAATATGTGTGCCGTGCTTCGTCCCGGGGACACGCTTGACGGGAGAATCGAACCGACCGATGATAACAAACGGCTACTGCGAAATAAAACTGGGTAGGGGGGGGAGGAAAAAAAATCAATATTTAAGACGAATCATCGTATTGCACGAGCATCGTCGATCATCCAGCTACAAATACGATACCAATGCCGGCAAAATATAGTTGTTTGACGTTAAATTGTATCGGGGTGGATGCTCGATTCCACCCGGAATCAACTTACGCGAACAGATCCTCCAGAGGCGTGATCGACGCAGATTCACCGCCATAATATTTATTACGATCTACATGCAGAACTTTTTTCCCACTGACCGACAGCATACCCGAAAGTATACATTCTTTGAGTCCGGTGCCCAACACGATCGCGTCGTATTCTTCATTCATCGTTGCCCGAAACGCCAAGAGACTGATTCACACGGCACTGAAACCTGCGAGCGGCGAAGTTCACGTGAAGTTTCCCTCGATCGTAACGCTACGAAAGTCGGGGAAAAAGATAGCGCACGGCCGCGCGTCTGCCAACTTGCACGACTATTATGCCGGAACGGAAGACCTCGTTCTTTCGCTCGCAACCGATGACGGAGCTGCTGGTAGAACGTCACTGGCGGTGGTGGTGGCGATTGTCACCGTCGATGGAGCTACTGTGGCGTTGTACTTTCCCTAGACTCTCCTCTATTCTCTACTCTGTGGTTCAATCGGCAATATCTGGTTACGCTAAGAAAACTATAAATTTCCGAAGCCTCTACGCGTCAACGTGTTTCAAATCCGTTGCCGTCAAGATTCGGCGTAATCTTATTTGGTAGACGTGTCGGGTAAATCTGTTGAATTTTCTCTCGTGGGAAAGCCTGAGTCACGCTCGACAACGCTGTTAGCATCTCTGAGCGAAAACGATGATAATAAAGTGTCAACTCCCGCTGCGAATGCATCATGACTTTCAAAAATCGCGGAAAACTCGACGCTAGGGACTTCTGTGTTTTGCACGTTGAAAGATTCGTGACAACGAGGCGCGACGATAGATGGCACTAGCGCCAAAGGTTGCGGTTGCGGCTACTTTTTGCGCCTGGTCGGCCGATACGAATTGTCAGTGCGTGTACGACAGCAGGGACGTTTGGTCCGTTGTTTGCGGAACGCGAAATTGGAGTCTGGATATCTCGATATTTAGGGTATATATCGGTGTGGTGCGTGTCTCGAGACGATCGTGGCGATCACAGTTTACTGTCACGCGTGAAGATGTGTAAGTAGCAGAATTTGGCATTTCAATCGGGGGAAGTGTTTTAAGAGAAACACACGGAACGCTGTAACCCGTTATTTTTCTTGTCAAGAAGAAACATGCGAAAGTACCGGTTGGCTCTCCGATTTCCGGTGCGTTCAATGTGCTGAGGGTCCGAGGACGTGGGGTATAGCGGCGTGACTACCCCTTGTGCTTCCACGAGCGTTAACCAAGGCCACGTGGACCACGTTGGGTGCCTGGAAAAATGTAAGAGCGAGATTCTTCTTATTTTGCCGTCGCTGGATCATTCTCCTTGATAATTACCTGATTATCTAGATTCTTGACAGCGTTTCATTCGCGAGCTGTTCAAATCAAAAACCTCATGGAGGTGAGATAGGAAGAGAAAACGAAAGAGATGTCAAAAATGAGTGAATTTGTGAAGGAGAATTACGTGTACATACTTTTTGTTAATGCGTGTTGCGTTCACTTGAACGTCGGCAAATTCAGATTCATTCTGTATAAAAGAACGTGTTTCGTGTGGGTAAACGTTGGACCAAAAGGATCTGTGTTTGTTAAAAAAATCAATGCGGTCGACGTAATTTATGTCAGATACGGATTGGAAATTTCGACTGACGTGGAATATCGCTCGGATCAATCACCTTGTCGCGTTCCACGATTTCCAATGTGTACATCGTTGTTCTGAACATTACATACTTAATTATTACGAGAAAGTTTCTGTCTAAATGCGGAAGTACTAGGCGTTCTAGCGAGACGGCAGCGAGTCTGCAAAAGCGAGAACGTTTAAACCATTCGACGATCTTTGACAACATTCATTGACAAACAAAAGTAAAAGAGTGATAAGTAATTTGAAAAAAAAAAAAAAAAAAAAAAAAAAAAAAAAAAAAAAAAAAAAA